GTGATAAGCCTTATCGGCCCTGATTGGCCGCGGGCCATCTCGCGAGCTTCCGCGAGTCCTCGCGACTTGCTATCGCGTCGCGTGCCCTAGATCCTTGAGCGCGCGGGATTCGACTCAATGCTGGCGTCGTTTCGGCTGCTCGCAACGGTCCCCTCTGGATTGCTTTTGCCGGCGTGTCGTCCGAATTCGGTGGGTTCCTTTACAGACAGGCTCGGCCTCCGGATTCGATGTCTCCTCTCTGCAGAGGCTTCCTTGCGGCATCGACAGCGGGGTCCCTTGCTCGTCCTATGGCAGAGGGTGGCCCCTCACGCCGCCTTAGACGCTCCCGCGGCATAATCGCCTGTAAAGAGTTCGGCAGGAAAACACGTTATGTTCAGGGCGTTAATTCGATAGTATGGAACAGTATCACCTGTGCGCTACCCCTCCTCTGAGTGGCCTCGGACCTCCAATATGGTCTTCTATCCTCTTCTTGGCCTCTCCTTGAGGTAGTGGAATGTGTCGCACATTAAATTACCTACCGCAGCCGCCGATACTAAAAATCTCAAACAAATTCACAAAAAGAAATAGTAACGTTATGCGAAACGTGACGACAAAAATCTCCAAATTCTCGCTCGAAAATCGCAATAAGCATCGGCACGCCCGCCCTCCGTGTCGGGAGGACACAAGACAAATTTGCCGCGCTACTTCGGCCAGGTCGAACGACCCTTGTGACGGACGGTGAAAAACGTCACGTCACAATGCTTATAGCAGTAATATTATGTACTGAAGAAATCATTTCAGCTATTGGAAGTACACTATTATTTTTATTAACTACTATTGCATAATATAGAATGCGTTTGCACTTTATATCTTTTGGTTTACGAACTACAGAACCAGTAGCATCAAAATAAACTACAATATCATTCTTATCAAGTGCATTAATTTGTTCCTCTGTACATAAAATGGTAAACCTGTACTTTGTATATAAGGATCATTAGATTGTTGTTCTATAATATATTGCTGAAATAAATCAGATAAATCGCGCGAACAAAGATATAAGTCATTCTTATTATTTTCTTCAGATTTTGTTTTCTGATACGTATTAAGCATGTGTAATTCTTGAAAATATCTATCCTGAGCAAGCTCTTGGTCTATGTTTTTCAATGTATTTAATTGTAACATTCGAGGAGACATATGACGCATTTCCGACTTAGCTTTTTCTCGTGCTTCGCCTTTTAAAGTACTAAAAATAGGTTTACTTTCATGTAATATTTCAGTACATTTTGTACTAGAGACAAATATGTCAATAAGCATTATCTATGTATATTTGAAACATCAAATTTAAATCGTTGTACATGGCTGCTGTATCTGCATCTTGCATATGTTGCTAAACTGTTTGTATTACGCCGTATTCCGCCATAAAATTGTAATGGACACGGAAAATTTAATATGTTAACCATTTTATTTTGTATTTCGTCTCGTATCTTAGTTTTATTTACATTTCCATTTCATCAAAAATAACAATTCGTTGAACATGGAATCGTCCTTGCAAAGTACTAAACTTTTTTTGAACTGATAATTTTGAGTTTTGTTGATTAAACTTTATAGAATTATCACTACTATCGCTACTATTATTACGAACATAATCATTATTATTCAATAATTAAATGTTAATATGGCTCAATTAGAATAAATCAATAAATAAAACAAGGGCAAACGAGCCAACTACAATATAAGATCTTTAATAAACATATATATATACAATAATCAAACGTTTCGACACCGATCGGGTCATTTTCAATGTACAATAACAAAACATCTTACATACATAATCAGAAATTCAGTTAAAATATATTGTCCAGTGAGAATTTGGTTATATTCATAAAAAGCAGTCCATATTTAAAACTATTGAAGAGATCAAAACTCATTCTACCATCTCATATTGTCTCAATGATATAATGTAGACAACGATAGGAACACTCAGTTAACAAACTTATATTTAATAAAAGTTATGTATAATAAAAATTATTAAGCCATGATGCGCATGAATATAACGTTTTGACTCAATCGACGTCAAGCGACGTTATTATTCAAATCGATTCCATGTTTATCTTCTATATTTGAAAAAAATTTTATAGACCTATCACTGTTATCGCTATCGTCAGGAACATAATCGTTATCATTCATCGAATCGATTTCATTTTCGTCTTCTTCTATGACATTTGAAAAATGTTCAAAATCAGTATTGTCAGAAAATATTGTACGTGTTTGTCGTAATGTACGTCTTTGTGGTGTAACAAAAAATATTACATGAAGCTTCATCGTCTATAACATGCAACTCTTTATTTGAACCTATATCATCTTCCTTAGATACTACAGTCGACGAATTTTCAGTACTGCAGATATGCAAAATATCGTTTGCGTTAGAAATGTTTTCAGTATGAAGAGGCCGTGTCTTTTCAGTATTAATTTTACTACTGGATCGAGATTTTAATATATTTTTCACAATGTCTTGTATGCCTTGATGATTGTCATTCCATATCCTTTTATAAAATTTAAATTTATTATCGAATTTTTTTTCTGCTTCTGAAATATCTACAAAACAAATAAATATAAATGATAGCAAGTATTACACGTGAACTCAGCAAAAAATATTTTGATAAAAAATTCAATACGAAATAATTTTTATTAAAATTAATTTTTACCAAATTTTGAAGTAAATAAATATTAGATAACTTGAAAAAAAAAATTACTATACAAAATACATTTTATGTTTAAATTTTAATTTTTAATTTTATTTTCGGGAAACTATATTTATAATTACCTTTAATTCACAGAAAGTATTGACATTTTAATTAAGTAAACACTACAGACACACTTCGAGCGCGCTATTTAGCTTTTATTTTTTACTACACTTGCTCAAATACAATAATTGAAATATAATTATAATTATACTGTTATTATTACTAACCCCTTGATATACAACTGTCAAAAGTAAACGCAAAGAGAGAACCAATTGGTATCTCGGAAAAGCAATAATAATAACTTGGATATATCTGTTTTTTTAGAAAGGATTATCATTTGTCTCAAATTAATTCTATAATTATCAAGGAATTGAAAAAATTCAATAATGAAAAGATTATGACTATCCGGGGGGGAGGGCAGAAAGTCCACATTATTGCATTTAGATGTATAGAAACGGATTCAGTGTGTCTAGTGTCCACAAAATTTATTATAATACTTTCTTCGTGGACAAAATAGATTCGAAAGCTTGATTCATATTTATCAAATACAATCCGTTTGCTGGGAAGAGGTAATCAAAAGAACTAGACAGTAGCTATGTAAGACAACTTTAATATCTCATGACTAGATAGGCATGAAGTTCAATTTTTCAAATTATAAAATGTAAAAGGTCTAGTTTACTTACTAACACACAAAATGACTCTTTTCCACGTGAATTAAACTCTATGTCTTCAAAATTATTTGCCACATCGCAAATTGTTTCAGCTGTAAGTCCATTGAAGTAGAACTTCCGGCAAGAATTCATCTTCCCTTGCGTTCTGTGCAACAATAACCACAAAATACATGTGTCTACTATGGGTAACAGAATGAAACAGAACAACAGAATGAAAAACTATTGTTTCAGTACATGCAAACGGAAGCTGAGTGTGTGTGTGAAGAGAGGTTATGATACTAAACAAATGAAAGACGAACAATCGAGATGTGTGTGAGAGAACGTTTAAATAAAAGTTCGTTTGCATTCCGTTTATTTCGATAAACTGAAGAGATTCACATATATTTGAAAAAAAAGGATACTCATTTATATGAATAGCATAAGCATTATATGTTTGCACGCGTAAAGTGAATTTTAACAAAACATAGTAATAATTCGCTCGTTACTAATTCAGTAAGAAATTTTAAGTGATCATAAGCATGGATTATCGATTGTAAGAGTACCATTCGACGCGTATATTAGATCGAGGAATTACGATATATGGACATTTTTTTACAAAAGTGTGTGTTATACTAAAAAAAACTACATATACATATAAGTTGTGTTCATAATAATCCGTTTTTTTTAAATAAAACATTTTTATAGTATATTAATTTTATTAATAATTACTCAAATTGGTATAAAATAAAATTAAATAAATGATAACATAAATATAAATTTTTTTTATAAGTACGATAAACATTCAAATAACATCCCGAGAAAAAACGTTTCACATAATTATATTTCAAATAATTATATAAAAATTGATATTCTATATACAGGATGTTTGGAAAGTAATGAAAAATCTTTCTCATAGAGGTAAAATGGACTAAACTGAGAAGAAAAGTCCTCTACTATTCTACAATTTTCGCAATAGTTAACAAGATAATAATTATTAAAAATTGTCGAAAATTGATTTTTAATAATTTTTTACTCAAATATCACTACTATTAACTTTACAGAAAAACTGAGACAAAAATTATTTACAATAATAAGATTGGAAGACCGCTTATGTTAAATACATTTAATACTTTAAACTAAGAAGCGCCACTAATGGTCTGAACGTTAAGATGTTGAACTATTCTAAATTCATTTTAAATGAATTAATTTCAGAAATTATAATTGTGTGCCGATATGGTTGTCGGACTTTCAACGCAATCAAATCTGAAAT